CCGTTGTGACCACCGGCGTGCCCCGGCGACTTCGCACACGCGCCCACCACGCCACCCTGTACACCTGTGTGTGCGTGTCCGTGTATATGCGGCGCAGGCGCGTTTGGACACGACCACTGATGACGCGTTTGGCTGCCGTTGTTACGTCTCCGCTTCGTCCCCCTCAGTGTTCTGTGCCGGCCGATGTCCCGTGAGGCAGCGGATGGGGGCTCAGAGCAGGCCGAGGCGCCCAGAGCCCGTGTGGGGTACACAGGGGGACGCAGAGTGGGCAGGGGCACGGGGGGCCGGGGTGGGGGTCATGGGCCGAGGAAGCAGCTCCCAGAGCCTGGGGACCCTCCGCACGGATCGCAGGGGCCCCCGTCCCGTCCGGGGGCTGTCCCCACAGAGGGCCCGAGAACCAGAGCAGCGGCCGCAGATATCCCGCATCTTTCAGAAGTCGGGGCGGCCAGGCCGAGCTCTCCCCGGCCCCTCGTTTCTGTGCGCGGGCCGCGTCTCATTTAGGGCCGGGCTGCTGTGCGGTGCTTTTAGGCTCGCGGGGAGGCTGCCCACGTAGCACAGCGCGTCCCTGCCCTGCTGACAACATCCTCGCATCACTTGGTGCATTGGGGGCGGGTGAGGACCAACACGGGCACGTCCCCAGATGCAGGAAGGGGCCCCGGCGGGCGTGGGATCGGGTTCAGGGACAGGTGCCAGCAAGGTTCAAGCCCAGGGTGGTCCGCTCCCCAGCTCCGGGGCCCCGGAGGAGTCCCTCCACCGCTTTGTGCCTCAGTTTACTCCTCTGCAAAGTGGACCCAACAGCTGCCCCGTCGTAGGAGCTCGTGCATGTGACAAACCGGGTGATGCCCGGGTGTGGGATTGATGCTACGCTTGCTGCCCGTTGTGTGGGGTTGACCCGGGAGTCCCCGAAACCAGCCGAGCCATCACACAGCGTGTCCCCGTCCCAAGCCCTCACCCTGTGCCTCACTCGCGTTTCCTCCCTGCCTGGAGGTACCTTCACGGCGTTGAAAGGCAACCTCGGCGACGTTTACCGAGGCACACAGACGTCCAAAGAGGCCAGCCGCCCGAAAAAAAAAGCAGCCGAGGTCAACCGTGGAAACTTTTTAGCAAGTCAGCGTGAGCCCGGTGGCGGCGTACGGTGGCCGGATAACTACGGCCTTCTCACGTCTTGCTAAGTGTGGGAGGCGTTTTCTGGGCTGTGGTTTCCAGAAAGAGCGCACCGTGGAGGGTAGAAAGACGTTCCCGGCGTCTTGTGCTAGACACCGGGGTCTAGACGTTCCGATCCTTCAGCGTCATCGCAACACCAAGGGTGTATGACCCCGCTGACGTCGCCAGGGCAGGAAGGACACGGGTGCGGAAGCAGAGATGGCGCGTGTGCTTGCCCGAGGCCGGCCGTCGGGGTGGAGGGAACACGGGCGTTGGACGTCTCTTTGGGGCGACAGGAATACCCCAGAGCTGCCTTGTGGTGTTTCCGGGACAGCAATGCGAGCGGACCACAGGCCGGTGAACCGTGCGGTGGCTCGAGCCGGGGGCCGCGGTGCTCGGGGACCCAGGGACACACAGACGGACACGTTGTGCGTGACTGTGCGTGTATAGCAGGTGTCGCCTGTGTAGGGACGGCAGGCGGATGCTGGGCGGCGGGCCTGGGGTTGTCACAGCCTCCGTGCCGCAGGATGAAGAGTTCCGGACGCGGGTGCTGGGGACGGTGGCACAGCGCCACGGATGTGTTTGCGACCAGTGACCCGACGCCGTCACAGGGTTAACACGGTGGATCTCGTGTCTCTCTATTTTATCACGATATACAAAGAAATACTCGGAAGGAAAAGATAAGAGAAAAAAAGGACAGATACGCTGGGAATGTTTGCTTCTTCCGTGTCCAGCACTCTGGAGAGGTGACTCTGGGCAGAAATCGATGGTTTTGTGTGACGTCTACCGGAACGCCTCTTTTTTTTTTAGTGTAGGTATTTTCAGACAGGCTCATAGGAAGGAGAATTATCGAATGGAAGCCCACATTCCCTTCACCCATCATCCGTGCTCAATGTTCTGCCATTTTTCTTCCAGTCCCCCTAATGTGTGTGCAAGCTCACGTACATGGATGTGTGTGTGCAAGTGGGAGTGCATGCATGGATGGATGCCCACACGTGTGCATGCGTCTATAGGGTACACTGTGTGCATGTGTGTGTGCAGTGGTGCATGGATGGATACGTGCATGCATGTGTGTATATGGGTGCACACGGGTATGTGTCTGTGCATGTATGTGTGCGTACATATACGAGTGTGTGCATGTGTGTATAGGGTACATTGTGTGTATCCGTGTGTGCATGTGTGTGTACATGGGTGGATATCTGTGTGCATGCGTGTATATGGGTGCACGTGGGTATGTGTGTGTGCATGCGTGTGTGTGCATATAAGAGTGTGCATGGATGGATGCCCACGTGTGTGCATGCATGGATAGGGTACCTTGTGTGCATGTATGTGTGCGCATGTGTGCGTGCATGAATGGGTGCATGCATGTATATGGGTGCACATGGGTATGTGTGTGCATGGATGGATGCCCACGTGTGTGCATGCATGGATAGGGTACCTTGTGTGCATGTATGTGTGCGCATGTGTGCGTGCATGAATGGGTGCATGCATGTATATGGGTGCACACGGGTATGTGTGTGCATGGATGGATGCCCACACGTGTGCATGCGTCGATAGGGTACATTGTGTGCATGTGTGTGTGCATGCATATGTGTGTGCATGGATGGATACGTGCATGCATGCATGTATATGGGTGCACACGGGTATGTGTCTGTGCATGTATGTGTGTGCATATAAGAGTGTGTGCGTGTGTGTATAGGGTACATTCTGTGTACCCGTGTGTACATGTATGTGTGTGCATGGATGATATCTGCGTGCATGCGTGTATATGGGTGCACGTGGGTATGTGTGTGTGCATGCATGTGTGTGCATATAAGAGTGTGCATGGATGGATGCCCACGTGTGTGCATGCATGGATAGAGTACCTTGTATGCATGCATGTGTGTGCATGCATGGATGGATACCGCGTGCATGTGTGTATATGGGTGCATGGTGTGCATGCATGTATAGGGTACATTGCATGGGCGTGTGTGCACGGATGGATGAGTGCATGCCTGTATATGGGTGCATGCAGGCATGTGCATGCGTGGATGCCCACACGTATGCGTGCACGTACGTGGGTATATCGTGCATATGTGTGTCCATGGATGGATGCCCACACGCATGCATGAATGTGTGTATGCGTGCACGAGCACATGAATGGATGGACACCTGCATTCACGCATGTGTGTACATGGGTACGTGCATGTGCGCATGCGTATGAGTGCATGGAGGATGGATGCCCACATGCGTGCATGTGTATATGGCTGCATTGTGTGCATGTACGTGCAGACACGTATGTGCGTGCGTGGATGGATGCCCGCATGATGCACGAACGCGGGTCCATGCGTGTGCACGCATGTGTCTGCTCTAGTATTTTAAGCCAAGCATTAAACGTCATATCATGAGACACATGGACATTTACACACGTATCTCTTACAAAAAAGGATTTCTTTCTTGTTAAAGCGCCACCGTCCCAGGCAACAAACCCTCGATGGCATCGGGCGCCCTCCGCGGGCTGTGTTGCCCCGACGCAGGCCGCGTGCTTCCCAGCACCCCGACTCGGAGAAGAGCCTTGAGGTTGGAGACCCCAGGGTCTGGCCGAGGGCAGTGTGTGCTCCAAAGTGACGTAGGCACCGTCATTGGACAGCAGGGGGCTCCGAGGTCAGAATGGGGAACGTGCTCACCTCCCGAAAGGGGAGATAATGGGGTGGCGCCCGGGTGTTAGGTGTCGGGCGCCCCTGCCTCTCCCCCTGCAGCAGGAGCCCAATCCGGGCATCGCATCTTTCCAGAAAGCCCCCAAGCCGTGCGTACCCCCAACACGTCATACTTTTATTTGATACTTAACATGCAGACAGGTGGAGTTTCTGGGGCGCACACGCACATACGCACACACACGAGGCACACGCGGTCGGCGTGTCGAGCCAGCAGCAAGGCCCGTCCTGGCATTTCGGGCTCCAGCACAGACTCCGTGGCGCGAAGCCGCAACCTCTACGGCCGGGAAGAGGCCCCGTCCCCCAGCGAATGCGGCCGCCGCCCGCTTACAGGGCGGTGACCCCGGGGCCAGTCCCCTCTGTCCCCCCGACGGCTTCGGGGCCCTGACATCCTGCGGCGGCGGACGATGCTATGTAGACGGGCTTCCTCCCGTTCACGCCGTGAGGTGCTCCGTGCGGCTGCTTTGAGGTTCTCACAGCTTCTGCGCAGCGGACAGGCCAGGCCCACGCCCAGAACGTGGGTGGGGGCGTCCTGCTGGCTCAGGACCCTGGATGCTGCTGCCTCGAAGATGCTTTCTAGGGTTTAAGACAGTCGGGGGACGTGCTTACTTGCTCGCAGAATCCAGGTCGCTAAGGCCAGGCTTCTTGGAATCACCTGGGCCTCCCCCCACCCCCCAAGCCCCCCCAGGTAAATGCCTCTGCAAGTAAGTCTCAAGGGGTCTCTCCGAAGGGTCCTTATGGTGGCCTCGGACTCCGTGCTCACAGCTGGGCATTCAGGACCAAGTGGCTTGGATGCCGTCCCCGACGGGGACCTTCTGGGTGCAAGGCAGTGGGTGATGGCTGTGGTGACAGTGTAGACGGGCGCCCAAGGCCGAGTCTCAGGCCCCAAGGGCATGCACAGCCTGGGCTCACCCACTTTCCACCTGCAGGGGCGCAGGGCAGGGGTGGGAACGTGGGTCTCGTCCCAGGGCCACACCCTCCCCCCGCCGGAGCCGTGCGTGCGTCTCCGGGTACTCCCCGGAGCAGGTGTCCTGTGAGGGGCGGCCGTGTGCATGGCGTTGGACTCCACGCGGGGACGTCACCGTGTGCATAAAGGCATCGAGGGCACGGGGCATCTCCGGTGCCACCGCGCCGGGGACCCTCCTGGAGGCTCTGTGCCCCGCATTCACCCCGCGAGTTACGAGGGCCAACCCCGGAGGAGACGGCTTGTCTCGTCTTCCGGAGAGCCCTGCACACCACATCCCGTCCCAGCTCTGGAGACCGGACGTCTCAGGTCCAGGGGGGCAGGACCACTGACGTCCACGGGCTCCGGGGAAGGTCCCTCCCGCCTCTTCAAGCATCTGGGGCCCCAGGCGTCCCCAGGCTGGTGGCCGCGTCCCTTCCGTCTCCGCCTCCGCCCTCACGGGGCTCCTCCTCTGCGTCTGCAGCTCCTCTCCTGTCTCTTCCTGTCGTTGGATTTAGGGCCACCCCGATGCAGGAGGTCACGTTCTGAGCTCCTGGACGGATACGGGTTTGGGGTCACTACTTGGTCCCGGACAGCCTTGGGCACTCATACGTGTAGGGTCGGTGGTCTGTCCAGGTGCCCGGGTCCCAGAGGGCTCCTTGGGTGAGGCGAGGTGCACGAGGTCAGCCCACACCCTGGGAGGACTCGCACGTGGCTCAGCGGCTGTCACCCGGGGGGAGGAGGAGGCTGAGAACCGTCCGGAGGGCGCCTCGGGGCCTGAAGATGTCCGGGACCCCAGTGGTGGCAGCAGCCGGCCATCGTCGTTCACGGGACTCGTCGTCAGCAGCCTGTGCTCCAGCTGGAGGCCCTCCACCCGCGCCTCCCGCGTGGCTGCCTGCCGTGTGCGGACGTGGGGAGTTGTGACATTTTGGAGAACGTGAGCCTGGAGGAACCAGAGTCACCAACCCGTTTGGAAGCCCTTGTGGTTGCTCCTGGAGGGGGGGCCCTTTGCCATAGCAGCACGGGGAGGGGGTGCTGGTGCGCTCCGGGAGCACAGAGGTCAACAGGGGCACGTCTACCCGCGTCTGGGGTCACGCGCGCTGACCGAGGCTGCTCTGCACGCGCGGTCCAGGCTGTCCAGGGTCTCCAGCAGCAGGTGCGCAGAGCAAGGCCGGCGGGCGCTGGGGACCCAGGGGGACTGGGATGGGCCGGCTGAGCGCGTGGTCAGGGTGGGTGCTGGGCGTCCTGCACCGCTGCAGCGCCCCGTCCCCCAGCGGCGGCCTGTGCGCACCTGCAGCCCCGGGGGGGCGGCGCGGGGCTCAGAACACGCTCTCCTGCCTCCTGAGGGCCGGCCGGCCCGGGGCCTCCAGCCCGTCGCCGTGGCCGCTGGACATGGAGCGCGCCGACAGCGTCCGCGGCGAGAACAGGCTGTCGCGCCCCGCGTCCCGGCAGGTGGCCGGCAGCGGCCCGTAGCCCAGGTAGCGCCGCAGGCGCAGCTGGAACTCGCGGGAGGCGAAGTAATACACGAAGGGGTCCAGGCAGTTGTTGACGCAGCTGAGGCACAGCGTGAGCTTGTACACGTGGTAGTAGCTGCGGCCCAGGAAGAGCCGGCTGACCATGTGCACCAGCAGCACGAAGTTGTTGGGCGCGAAGCAGGTGACGAAGGCCAGCAGCACCACGAAGGCCAGGCTGACGGCGCGGCGGCGCTGGCCGCGGCCCTGCGGGTCGGAGGCGCGCAGCAGCGTCAGGATGGTGGCCGTGTAGCAGGCCACGGTGACCACGAAGGGGATGAAGAAGAGCACGATGAAGAGCGTGAAGAGGAAGATGGCCCACATGGCCACGCTGGGCAGCATGGTGGACTTGAGCACGTCGAAGCAGGTGACGATGCCCAGCTCCTCCACGGCGTAGGTGAGGTCGGTGCGCGCCAGCGGGGACAGCGCCACCAGGAGCAGCAGCCACGCGGCGGCGCAGGCGGCCACGGCGTAGCGGCGGCGGCGCCAGGGCGCGGAGGCCAGCGGGTACACGACGCCCAGGAAGCGCTCCACGCTGATGCACGTCATGGTGAGGATGGACGAGTACATGTTGGCGTAGAAGACCACGGTGACCACGTTGCACAGCAGCTCGCCGAACACCCAGTGGTTGCCGTTGCGGTGGTAGTAGATCTGGAAGGGCAGCACGCTGGCCAGCATCAGGTCCGTGACGCTCAGGTTGATCATGAACACCACGGACGGGGACTTGGGCCCGATGTGCCGGCACAGCACCCACAGCGAGAACAGGTTGCCCGGGATGCTGACCACCGCCACCAGCGAGTACACCACGGGCAGGGCCACCGCGATGACGGGGTCGCGCAGCATCAGGATGGTGGCGTTGTCCGGCCCCGACACGTTCATGTCCATGGTGGCGCCGCTGCCGCGGGACGCGGGTCTGCAAGGCAAGGGGCGCTCGGTGAGGGATGCGGGTGGGGCTGCCCCATGCGCTCCCCGCGCTTCGCGGCCGCCCCAGGACCCGGAGCGGTGCGGTGCTTCCCCGTGGAAGCCCGGAGGACGTGCGCACACGGCAGCATGCCAAGGGACTGACCCGGTTTCTGGGTGCAAACCCTGGCCGGGTCGGGGGGCACCCCGGGGCCCGCTGGCTACGACTGCTGCCCTGGATGGCCGCTCAGGGGCACTGAGCCACCGCACGGACACCCCACCACCTGCCCCGCTGGCACCCTGTGCGGGGCGGCCCTGCTTCCTCCGCCCTTGCGCCTCACAGGACGATGGCTCTGCTCCCCCGCAGCGGGGACCCTGATCTTGGGGGATCATCATCACCGATGGGGGTGGGGAGGTTGGAGACCCCGACGGGCTCTGAGAGGGGCGCACGCACACCCGCAGGGTGCTCATCACCGACTGGGGGGTGGCTTTGGAGACCCCGACGGGCTCTGAGAGGGGCGCACGCACACCCGCAGGGTGCTCATCACCGCCGGGGTGGGAGGGGCTTTGGAGACCCCAACGGGCTCTGAGAGGGGCGCACGCACACCCGCAGGGTGCTCATCACCGACTGGGGGGGCTTTGGAGACCCCGACGGGCTCTGAGAGGGGCGCACGCACACCCGCAGGGTGCTCATCACCGACTGGGGGGGGGCTTTGGAGACCCCGACGGGCTCTGGGAGGGGCGCACGCACACCCGCAGGGTGCTCATCACCGACTGGGGGGGGCTTTGGAGACCCCGACGGGCTCTGAGAGGGGCGCACGCACACCGCAGGGTGCTCATCACCGACTGGGGGGGGCTTTGGAGACCCCGACGGGCTCTGAGAGGGGCGCACGCACACCGCAGGGTGCTCATCACCGACTGGGGGGGGCTTTGGAGACCCCGACGGGCTCTGAGAGGGGCGCACGCACACCCGCAGGGTGCTCATCACCGACTGGGGGGGGCTTTGGAGACCCCGACGGGCTCTGAGAGGGGCGCACGCACACCCGCAGGGTGCTCATCACCGACTGGGGGGGCTTTGGAGACCCCGACGGGCTCTGGGAGGGGCGCACGCACACCCGCAGGGTGCTCATCACCGACTGGGGGGGGCTTTGGAGACCCCGACGGGCTCTGGGAGGGGCGCACGCACACCCGCAGGGTGCTCATCACCGACTGGGGGGGGCTTTGGAGACCCCGACGGGCTCTGGGAGGGGCGCACGCACACCCGCAGGGTGCTCATCACCGACTGGGGGGGGCTTTGGAGACCCCGACGGGCTCTGGGAGGGGCGCACGCACACCCGCAGGGTGCTCATCACCGACTGGGGGGGGCTTTGGAGACCCCGACGGGCTCTGGGAGGGGCGCACGCACACCCGCAGGGTGCTCATCACCGACTGGGGGGGGCTTTGGAGACCCCGACGGGCTCTGGGAGGGCCGCACGCACACCCGCAGGGTGCTCATCACCGACTGGGGGGGGCTTTGGAGACCCCGACGGGCTCTGAGAGGGGCGCACGCACACCCGCAGGGTGCTCATCACCGACTGGGGGGGGCTTTGGAGACCCCGACGGGCTCTGGGAGGGCCGCACGCACACCCGCAGGGTGCTCATCACCGACTGGGGGGGGCTTTGGAGACCCCGACGGGCTCTGGGAGGGGCGCACGCACACCCGCAGGGTGCTCATCACCGACTGGGGGGGGCTTTGGAGACCCCGACGGGCTCTGGGAGGGCCGCACGCACACCCGCAGGGTGCTCATCACCGACTGGGGGGGGCTTTGGAGACCCCGACGGGCTCTGGGAGGGGCGCACGCACACCCGCAGGGTGCTCATCACCGACTGGGGGGGGCTTTGGAGACCCCGACGGGCTCTGAGAGGGGCGCACGCACACCCGCAGGGTGCTCATCACCGACTGGGGGGGGCTTTGGAGACCCCGACGGGCTCTGAGAGGGGCGCACGCACACCCGCAGGGTGCTCATCACCGACTGGGGGGGGCTTTGGAGACCCCGACGGGCTCTGGGAGGGGCGCACGCACACCCGCAGGGTGCTCATCACCGACTGGGGGGGGCTTTGGAGACCCCGACGGGCTCTGGGAGGGGCGCACGCACACCCGCAGGGTGCTCATCACCGACTGGGGGGGGCTTTGGAGACCCCGACGGGCTCTGGGAGGGCCGCACGCACACCCGCAGGGTGCTCATCACCGACTGGGGGGGGCTTTGGAGACCCCGACGGGCTCTGGGAGGGGCGCACGCACACCCGCAGGGTGCTCATCACCGACTGGGGGGGGCTTTGGAGACCCCGACGGGCTCTGGGAGGGCCGCACGCACACCCGCAGGGTGCTCATCACCGACTGGGGGGGGCTTTGGAGACCCCGACGGGCTCTGGGAGGGCCGCACGCACACCCGCAGGGTGCTCATCACCGACTGGGGGGGGCTTTGGAGACCCCGACGGGCTCTGGGAGGGCGCACGCACACCCGCAGGGTGCTCATCACCGACTGGGGGGGGCTTTGGAGACCCCGACGGGCTCTGGGAGGGGCGCACGCACACCCGCAGGGTGCTCATCACCGACTGGGGGGGGCTTTGGAGACCCCGACGGGCTCTGAGAGGGGCGCACGCACACCCGCAGGGTGCTCATCACCGACTGGGGGGGGGCTTTGGAGACCCCGACGGGCTCTGGGAGGGCCGCACGCACACCCGCAGGGTGCTCATCACCGACTGGGGGGGGCTTTGGAGACCCCGACGGGCTCTGGGAGGGCCGCACGCACACCCGCAGGGTGCTCATCACCGACTGGGGGGGGCTTTGGAGACCCCGACGGGCTCTGGGAGGGCCGCACGCACACCCGCAGGGTGCTCATCACCGACTGGGGGGGGCTTTGGAGACCCCGACGGGCTCTGAGAGGGGCGCACGCACACCCGCAGGGTGCTCATCACCGACTGGGGGGGGCTTTGGAGACCCCGACGGGCTCTGGGAGGGGCGCACGCACACCCGCAGGGTGCTCATCACCGACTGGGGGGGGCTTTGGAGACCCCGACGGGCTCTGGGAGGGGCGCACGCACACCCGCAGGGTGCTCATCACCGACTGGGGGGGGCTTTGGAGACCCCGACGGGCTCTGGGAGGGGCGCACGCACACCCGCAGGGTGCTCATCACCGACTGGGGGGGGCTTTGGAGACCCCGACGGGCTCTGAGAGGGGCGCACGCACACCCGCAGGGTGCTCATCACCGACTGGGGGGGGCTTTGGAGACCCCGACGGGCTCTGGGAGGGCCGCACGCACACCCGCAGGGTGCTCATCACCGACTGGGGGGGGCTTTGGAGACCCCGACGGGCTCTGGGAGGGCCGCACGCACACCCGCAGGGTGCTCATCACCGACTGGGGGGGGCTTTGGAGACCCCGACGGGCTCTGGGAGGGGCGCACGCACACCCGCAGGGTGCTCATCACCGACTGGGGGGGGCTTTGGAGACCCCGACGGGGCTCTGGGAGGGGCGCACGCACACCCGCAGGGTGCTCATCACCGACTGGGGGGGGCTTTGGAGACCCCGACGGGCTCTGAGAGGGGCGCACGCACACCGCGCGGGAAGCCCCCCTTCCATCCCAACGGCCCAGCACAGCACCTCCTCCCTCATGCGAACGTCCACGACCACGGGGAGAGGTGGAGGGAAGAGTGCACACGAGTGTCACATGATTGCTCCTCTTCTGAGCTTCAAGGCCACGATGCGCACGCACCTGCTCAAGGTACCGCGGCCGTGCACCTGCCCCGACGAGCACACGCTCGCCTCCCGTGTGGCTTCAAATCCCCCAGGCCCCGGCCTCTCGGAGCCACACAGCACTACGGAACCTGGACTCGCAGGTCCGCAGGTCGGGGCCCTGTCCCCACGGCCACCCGAGCCTCACCTCTGCGTGCTGTTCTCGGTCGCCCCCACGAGGCACTCTTCTGCCTGCTGGTGGAGCCCAGGGGCACAGGGGCGCAAGTGTGCCCGGAGAGGCGGACCCTACCTAGACGGGTGGCCGATGCGCCCACCAGGCCGGGCTACAGCGCGCACCAATGCAGCTGGGTGTGCGTGAGGCGGTGGCCGTGCAAGGGTTTCATAGCTGTGGCCCCCGGAGCACAGGCAGACGCCTTGAAGGAAAGAGGCGATGCTGTAGCCTGTGGTGGGCCTCGTCTCATCAGGGGAAGGCCCGAGGGTGCAGCCAGGTTTCCCAGAGGAGAAGGTGTTCAACTTCCAGACGGCCCGAGCTCTCTCCTGAGGCTCCCGCCCGCCTCCTGCCTGCAGATGTCACGCTCGCGCCGCGCAGCCGTGTGGGCCAGGCCTCGACGGAAGGTTTTTTTGTATCTGTATATGCCTCCATACATGCAGGTCCACACACACGCACACACGTGTTCTATTGCACATGTTTATACATGCGCATGCACATACACATGGCCTGTTGTGTGCGCATTGCGTCGCATGTATGTGCCCGCGCATATTGTGTGTATATGTACGTGTGCACACATCCAGGTGCATGCATGTACGTACACACACATTGTCTTGTGTATTTATCCTGTCGCATATGTACGCATGATACACGGATACGTGCATCTTGTGTATTTATCTTCCCGCAGACGCGTGCATGGATATTGTGATGCATATGTGTGTACGTGCGCACGTCCTGGTACACATTCATCCTATCGCGTACATGCATGTGTGCACACACACAGACACGCACATCTTACTGTGTATTCACCGTATGGCATACACATGCACGTATATGGACACACACCCTACTGCATGTTTATCCTGTTGCAATCCCCCTGCGTATTTATCCTGTCGCATACGCACGTGTGAATATAGACACCCACGTCCTATGGTATATTTGTTGTCGCGTGCATATGTGTGTATACACGTATATCCTAGTGCATATTTATCCTGTTGCAAATAGGTGTGTACACGCAGCCTACTCTGCACGCATTCGACTGTATTTACATGCATACACACATTCGATGT